AAAAATAGATAAAAAACAGATTTCTTCTGTATAGCACAGGGAACTGTATTCAATATCTTATTATTACCTTTAATGAAAAAGAATAATAAAATGAATATATGTATGTATCTGCATGACCAGGACAGTGTGCTGTACACCAGAGAAGGGGACAGTGTAACTGACTGTACTTCAATTAAAAAAAAAAAGAAATACAAAGATACTAGCTAGTAACTTGAATCCATGTGAGGAAATCAAGATCTCAATGAAGGTAAATACATGGGCAGTTGTAAAAGCTTGTGTTACTGTAACAGTGGGTTGTAACTGTATTTTTTGTTTTCTACTTGATTTAAGAGTCTGATGTTTTTTAAAAAATTTGTGTTCTAAAAGCTAGTATTATAACTTTGTAACTACATTTTGTGTTCTATATAATTTAAGAGACTATTCCTTTAAGACAATTATTAGTTCTTTTTTTGGCACTGTGTATGAAGGTGCAATCTGTGACAGAATAAAAGAAAACGGTGGATATGGAGGCTTTAAAGGAACATAATTTTAGTGCGTTACTGAAGTTAAGCTGGTATAAATTGACATCAGAGTGTTTCAACTTTGCAGTGTTAAGTGTAATCCCCATGTAATCCCCATGCAAAGTAAACAGCTAAAGGATGTGCACAAAAGTGAGAGAGGAACTTAAACGTCTCACTGTAAAAAAAAAAAAAAAATCACAAAAAGAAGACAGTAATGCAAGAAATGAGGGACAGAAAAGCTACAAGACATATAGAAAATAAGTACAAAATAACAGAAGTCTCTCCTTATTACGGATTACTTTAAAAGTAAATAGATTAACTCTTTAATCAAAAGACAGAGGTTGCCAGAATAAGAAAATGATCCAGCTATATCCTGTCTACAAGAGACTCACTTTCGATCCAAGGACAGAATGGGCTAACAGATAAATGAATAGCCGAAATGCAGTCTGTGCAGACAGGGGAGCGTTGTGCAGCCTTTAAGAGGAGGGAAGTTCTGGCCCACGGTACAACGTGGGTGAACCGTGAGGACACGTGCCAAGTGAAAGGAGCCCGTCAGAAAAGGACAGACACTAGGAGTCCACCACATGAGGCACTGGGAGGAGTCAGGTCCACGGAGGCAGAAAATGGGACGGTGGCTGCTGGGGGGTGGGTGGGACGGGGAGGTGCGTTTAATGGGACAGAGTTTCAGCTGTACGAGAGGTCTGGAGATGGTGGTGGGGATGCTTACACAGTAATGCGAGTGTACTTAATACCACTGCATTTGCACTTGTTAATCACGAATTAAGACAGTAACTTTTATGTGTTTTGCCACAATATTAAAAATTGGGAAAAAATCAGCCATTTATGTGTGGGTCTGTTTCTGAACCCTCTGTTCTCTCCTGTTGATCTGTTTGTCTGTCTTTACGCAAATACTAGTTGGCTCCTTCACTGAGCTTTGTAAGAGGCCTGCAACCAGGTAGTGTTGGCCCTGCAACTTGGTTCTTTTCTAGGGCTGTTTTGGCTCCTTGTCTGCACTCTCTTACAAATTTTAGAATCAGCTTTTCAGCTTCAGCAGAAAGGCCTGCTGGTGTTATGATTGGGGTTACAGTAAATCTGTAAATCTCTCTGAGGGGGAGTTGAGATGATAGCAATACTAAATTTTCAGATCCTC